GAGTTACAGGGGACGAAGGAGGGGTGGGGAAATCACGCCTTGGAGGAGGAGGGCACGAGGGGGTGGGGAGAGTGACCACATGCCTAGGGAACGCGACCAGGAGATGTCAGGTCTGCCTTTCACATAACTCGCACTCGGGCCAGGCTACCAGAGAACACCACGTGAGGGAACTGAGGGCAGTTCCCGGAGAGGCATCCAAGGTGAGATGGGACCACTAGGATCACCTCGTATGACCTGCCCCTACCGAGAAACAGCCCCTCTGGATTGCAGAACGGTCCCTGCGGGAGAATCCAGCGGGACCCCAGAAAGGGTTCATTACACTCACCGTTCACCCCTCATTGCCAGGCTGAATGTGTCTGGCTCCTCTGCCAGGCTGAAGAGGCCAGGGTTAAATCTGAGCGCCCCGAGCAGGTGCTTACCAACGAGGGATGGAGAGAGTGAGCAGTTACCCGGTAAGCATCGCTCGGTACGGGTACCGGGTAAGAGGTTAATCGGCAGCCCAGTCAGACTAAAGCTCCCTCCCCTGCAGCGGACCCAGCTCAACCAGCTCCCTTCCCGTGGCATGGTGGGCTCAGCCAGGCCTGGCCAGAGGAGCCTGCAGCAGGCCGGGCCGGGCCGGAGCAGCCCTCCACTCATGGGATCCAGGTTAACCCTAATGTTTAACCAGTTCACTTTTTAAACAGGATTTGACATCCCTATTATAAACTGGGATCCCGGCCCTCCTTACCCTTCTGTTTGTTAAGCCGCATAGAGGGAGCGCTCTCTGTATCAGCAACCCATCCCCTTCATCACTTACCACTTCTGAATTCATGTGTCACTGGCACATTTTATCAGTGCTAATTATATGGTTTCTCCCAGATCATTAATAAACATTTTAAATAGCATAAGGCCCAGAACCATCTCTGTGGAACCGCACCCCTACAAATACACCTATTTGATGATGATTCTCCTTCTTGGGCACAGATTATTTCTCCTTGTAGACCATTGATAAGGGAAGCAAAAGGGCACAGTTCCTAGCTTCTGACATTCATTAACAACAACTTCCCTGTTCTTGCATTTGTTACATGTGATTTTTTTAAATTTATCATGACGGTCTTGACTTCACCTCTAAATCTGTCACTTTAACCAATGCAGCCTTATTCCTTGATTGTGGCTTCCTTAGCCTCTAAAAGTGTTCTTAAACCATTCCCAATTATCATTCACATTTTTTTTCCTGATTAAACTCTTCCTCTCAGCTGATTTGACTCAAAGTGTTTCCAGCCCTGTAAACGGACCCTTTTAAAGCCCCAAGTATTTATATATATCTAGCAGCTGGACATCATTCTGTTGGTGCATTATAAATGTGATCAAGGCATGATTGCGTGTACCTAAGCTCTCATTAATGTTTAGCTCTGTGATCAGTTTCTCTTTCTCTGCCGAGATGGGGTCTGATAGAGAATTCCCCTACGCGGGAGGTAACATTTTGTTGAGTACAAAACTGTCATCTCCAGTATTTAGAAATTCTGAGGATATTTTAGGTCTGGCAGCAGGAGACCTCCAGAGTGCGTCACTCACATTGAAGTGGTCCCCGATCACTCGGCAGCTTTTCCTGCATTGTCGATAGATGCGTAAGGAGCCAGTCAGCCTGTTCCCTAGGGTGGTACGGCGGGTCTGCAGCAGGCACCAAAACGCTTTGCCTGTTCAGATGTTGATCCATAACCACTTACAATCATTTTCTTTCCCTTTTCCCACGTGATCCTGCTGCTGATTTGAACATTCCAAGCGGGAGACTCAGCCCACTTGGTTTCCAGAAACACCAACCTGATCAAAATGACGCTAATAAGCCAGCGACTCCAGTCCGCTACCCTGGCTCCCAGGACTGGCAGGGAGGGAGAAATTGACACACAAAGGAACCCGAATACCACCACTTCCAGCAGAGGCAGAAATGCCATAGAAATCAGCGAGCAGGCGGTGGTCTAGCCAGAGATTAATTTGTGTTTGTGGGTTGGGGATCTGGGGGCCCTCCCCGCGCACGAGGGACGGTCCAGCCCACGTGGCCGGTGGCGAATGAATGATGACGTGCCCTTTGCCTCCGTCTGCAGCTCTGGGACATCCCCATCAGGAACCTTGCAGAGATGTCCTCCAGTCCAGCAGAGAAAGCAACCAGCGTGCCAGGGTAGGAGAAGCCACTCAGGACTCCCCCTGTCCCATAATCCTGCCCTCCTCCCTGTCTCTGGCCAGGAACGGCTGCCTGACAACGCAGCAGTTTGGTTTGTATGTTTAATATGCTTACCAGGAATAAGAACCTCAACAAATAATCCACCCGTAATAAGATCTACTTACCAAAGCAATCTTCCCACAGATGAGACCTGCAGCCTCCAGCCCCCTGCATTAACGCAGCCCCATCGAGGGGGCAAAACAGAGCCTGGCGCCCCTCTCAAAGCGGGCAGAGCGCCCGGGCCAGGGGGCAATCGACTCCTTCCTGGGCCACACTTGGCAGACCACAAAGGGAGCCTCCACTAACTAACTCTGGCCTTTTATCTAGGAACCGGAGACGGGCCATGGGGGTCAGAGGGATCTGGGAAGGCAGTGTGGGCCCTTCTGCTCCCCTGTGGATACACTGGGGGGGGGGCTTTTTTGGGTTGGGGGCCACCCACACACACACACACACACGGGGCGCCCACACACACACACACACACACACACACACACACACACACACACACACACACACACACGAGAAAAAACAAACCCAAACTCCTCTCTGATCCAGCCCCTGACCGAGACGAGAAAGACGCTCCCCCGCATTCCCCTGGCACACCAGAGCTTCCGGAGAGGCCCAGGCTAGTAGATTTGGTGTGCTCCAGACCTGTGGAGGGGGTCTGGATGGCCAGCATGGGCTCCCCAATACTGAGAGGGGAGCCCCGTGCCTCCAGGGCCAGATCCAGGCAAGCCAGGGGCCGCATCTGTGGCCCCTGGGCCTTAGATGGTAGGATAGAGGAAGCCTTGAAAGAAACAAGAAAGAACGGGGAGAAGCCGGGGCACCCAGCGGAAGGAAGTGGGACATCTCACACCGGACAGCCCCGGCGGTCCCTGGAGAAGTTGGCAGCCGTCAGAGGCACCAAGGAAGACCAGCCAGGCTCAGTGAGCACAGGCGGGAATTTTCCATCCCTCTGCGCGGGGCGCCTTGCTCTGGTCGACGGCCGGTTCCCACCCAGCCCCAGCCCCCTTGGGGAGAAAAGCTCTTCGGTTTTCAAGGCCCAAGGGCAGAGCCAGCCCTCAGCCAGGGGCTGGGCAAAGGCCTCCAAGGAGCCAGGCTGGGCCGGTCCGGGATGTTGGAGGCCGGGGGAGGGAATTCCATGGGACCCAGCTCTGACCCCGTCAGCTGGAAAGTTCGCCTGAGCTGGGTGGGATAACAGACAGTCCCAGGGGCCCCGGGAACCTGCCTCCAATCTCTGCCTGTT